CTTGGATAGCAGTGCTGTTGCCGATGAAAGTGGCGGACATCTTAAGACCTCGCGGAGGGATATCGCAAACGGCGGTCTTCACGTTATTGGGGATCCATTCGACAAAGTAGGAGCTGTTCTTGTTCTGCACGTTCAGCATCTGTTCGTCCACTTCCTTCATAGACATACGGCCTCTGAAGACAGCGGCGACCGTCAAATACCTGCCGTGTCGTGGATCGCAAGCAGCCATCATATTCTTCGAGTCAAACATCTGTTGCGTGAGTTCGGGAACAGTCAGTGCTCTGTACTGTTGGGAACCGCGCGAAGTGAGGGGCGCGAAGCCGGGCATAAAGAAGTGGAGGCGCGGGAAGGGAACCATATTGACGGCCAGTTTACGCAGATCTGCGTTCAGTTGACCGGGGAATCGGAGGCATGTGGTCACTCCAGACATGGTGGCCGACACCAAGTGGTTGAGGTCGCCGTACGTGGGAGTCGTCAGCTTCAGGGTTCGGAAGCAGATGTCATACAAGGCTTCGTTGTCGATGCAGAAGGTCTCGTCCGTGTTCTCCACCAACTGGTGCACAGAGAGGGTCGCGTTGTAGGGCTCCACCACTGTGTCCGACACTTTGGGGGAGGGGACCACACTAAACGTATTCATAATACGGTCGGGATATTCCTCGCGGATCTTCGAGATGAGCAGAGTTCCCATCCCAGAGCCGGTGCCGCCGCCCAACGAGTGTGTCATTTGAAAGCCCTGCAGACAATCGCATCCCTCCGCCTCTTTGCGGACCACATCCAACACGGCGTCCACTAATTCGGCGCCTGTTGTCACACAATCAGTCAATCAATTAGCGTTTGTTTGTTAGGCATTTGTATCGCAAGCGATGGCAACAAAGTAATCGATAAACAGTAGGCAAGCAATGGGTGTGACGCTTAGGCATACGGCATACCTTCGGTGTAGTGCCCCTTCGCCCAGTTGTTGCCGGCGCCCGACTGTCCGAAGACGAAGTTGTCGGGTCTGAAGAGCTGTCCGAAAGGTCCGGATCGGACGGAATCCATGGTCCCGGGCTCGAGATCGACGAGCACAGCGCGCGGCACATACTTGCCGTTCGTGGCCTCGTTGTAGTAGACGTTGATGCGCTCCAACTGGAGGTCACTGTCGCCGTGGTAGGACCCGGTCGGGTCGATGCCGTGCTCGTCACTTATCACTTCCCAAAACTTGGCACCGATCTGGTTACCACACTGTCCCGCCTGGATGTGCACGATCTCACGCATTGTCGCTGCTCGAGAGGACTTGTCTTGTGGTGAAGGCAATGATAATCAAATCAATCGATTGATTCAAATTGAGTGTCGATTGGATTTATTGTATGCAAACCAACGCCCAAACGGTTACACAGTCTGAGAGACAATGAATTCAATGCTTTTCGCTTCAAATCCTATCAGCGATTGTGCTGTCAATGCAGTCAAACCATTGCCCATCCAATCAGCGTAGAGTACACCAAATGGCGCGCAAACACTCAACGCATCGCAAACATAAGGGTTCAAAGACTTGACGCAATCGCACGACTATTACGTGCGTTGGAGAGCAGAGGGGGTGGAGACCAGTGTATGCCATACACTGGCAGTGAGGCCATCGATGGGTGCAGTGCTGTCAATGTGAGTGCGTTTGTTATGAATGCACTGCAACGCTAGCAATGAGTCACAGAATGCACTAAACGTGAAGTCGGGTCAACCAATGAGAGGCGACCACTGGTTACCATTGGTTGCCATTCTCGCCCTCATTCTCTGCGTTTTGAACACAAACCCAAAAAGTGATGAATCGTTGCATTCAGTCGTCAATCAGTCAATCGATTCGTGCATTCATTCAATACAAGCCATAAGAATGACTTCAAGTCACTAATTGTCTTGTATTGAGACTATCGCTAAGATTACTGATTGTGTCGTCACTACAACTAATTAGCAATATGTAGACATTGGCATCAATTGAGGCAATCATACACATTAGATATATTAGATAAATAAGCAAAACAGTAGCCCTCGCACACAATTATAGCACTATAAATAGGTCATTAGGTGTCTGTCCACTACGTGACCTCAATTCTCGTCTACCCTTCCCCTCTGTCCACTCAACTGACCCAATAATGCATGGCTTTATGAATGACATAAACTTTGTATGAGTTAT